TCTATTACTATAAAATTAATAATATAAAAGGATGAAATTATATGAATTTATTTGTTTGTATTTAACTATCTCATATATATATATATTTTTTTTCTTTTTGAAGAATCGCCAAAAATCCAAATTGGCTCAACTTATCAAAATGTGTGTAATTATTATTATTATTGTAAACAACTATAATTATTTAACTAAATTAAAATAACAAACAGTTTATAAAAAAATTTCCATTCACATAACAATAATAATCATATGACTATTATTAATCAAAAATAATGCCAACATATTTTTTATATTTTATATATTCTTTTATTTCATTGTTTTTAAGCGTTAGAGGTCTTAAAGCATTTAACGTTGTTATGAATTTTAAAAATCCCGTAAAAAAATATACGTTAAATTTGAAAATAAACCGCCACTATAGATTTATACAATGAACATTACAGCTCTTATATATTATAAGTTAGAAATAACTAACCCCAACTTAGAAGACTATTGACACTTTTTTTGGCTAAGAAATAATGTCTTATAAAATATAAGTCAATTGAAATCTAACTGTCACTCACCTAGAGCAGCTTGGGCTGCCTGCGCCGCTTGGGCCGCCTCGCCGGTGGTCAGCGACAGCTCAATGTAGCCAACGACGATGGAGAGTAGTGTCAGATCGGGCTCAATGGCGCTGGTGAGGGCACGTCTAAAGAGATTGACCACATCCGAGGTGGACTTGAGGGGGAAGAGGCTGGCGTCGATGATGCCATTGAGGGCCATGCAGGGGCTGGCGCTGGCACTGCGAGTGACCGTTGACATGGCTGCAAGGGATTGCTGCTGCTGCTGCACTCTTCTATTGCTGCACTCTTCTAATGCTGCTGCTGCTGCTCCTGCTGCTGCTTCTTACGCTGCTATTGCTTAGCACTGGCCGCAGGCGCTGTTGCATGCACACTGGACTTGCATTTCCACTTGGTAGCAGTAGCAGTACAGCCAGACACTTTGTTGCTGCAACATTTGAGGGGAGCTGCTGCTGCCGCTGCTGCTGCTGCTGCTGCTGCTGCTGGGTGTTGCAGAGGGAATGTTTGTGTGTGCAATGGACGCCACAAGTTGACAAACAACTTTTTTACTTTCCACCTTGTTTGTGCGCGCACTGTTTGCCCTTTTTTTAGTGTTTTCTTTTTCTCTGCTTTTGCTTTGTCGCGCTTCTATGTGCGTGTGTGCGTGTGACCGAGAGCGTGTCTGTGACTGCACTTATTCTTAAGCAGGATTTTTTATGCAATTCGCTGCATTTTGTTTTTTGTCGCTGCAATTTGTGTTCTTCGTTCGCTTCTGACTGTTCTAGGGCGACTGTGCGTTCGTGTGTGTTTGTGTGTGTGTGAGTGTGTGTATGCATACGTTGTGTCGTTCAATTGTACTGACACTTCGTTAATTTTGTCGTGCAGTTTGTTGCTCTTGTTGTTGTAGTGTGAGCAGTAGTTGTTACTGTTTTTCTTGTTGTTGTTGTTAAATATCCTGTCGTCGTTTCGCTCTCGTTTGCACACGTCAGCAGCGACGGTCACGACGGTGCTGGCCGCAGCAGCGCTTCTGGTTTAGCAGGTGCGTAGCGGCAGCGCCAGCGACCGCAGCGTCAGCAGCAGCTGAAATTGCGTAGCGTTGAATTATTGCGTAGCATCCAAAGCAGCGCGCCTCACCTCCCCCGCCCACACACGTGCCGCGGAATTTACGTCGTTTCTTTGTATCGTATTATATGTGATAACGTATTATATTGATTTAACACTATTTGTATTAGTTTCTTTAATAGTTTTTATTTATTAGTTTGTTGCCGAAAAAATACTGTGTTGCGTTTACTGTTTTTTGTTGTTGCCGCTGCTTTATTATTGTTGGCATTCCGCTTTGGTCAGTTCGACGCGCTTTGGCATTTTTAGCGCTATTTTATGTCAGCAATCTGCATTTAACAACACTGCTAAAGTGCTGCCACCAAACCTGGCCGCCGTGACCGTAACTGTGACCGTGACTGTGTTTATCAAATTAAACGCTGTTAATTATTTTTTAAGCATAAATATCTAAAATATATGCACTCCTATTAAAAAAATCAAATATCTTGCTAGTGATTGTGACTGTGATTGTGTATGACAATTAGTCCATCTCTATTTACGATCATCGTTCACTTCGTGAGCAGTCACTTTCTAAGTTATGCCATCACAATTGACCATCTTCAATTCGTATGCATTTCCCTTGATATAAATAAATGCCGGCTTTCCTCAATTTTAACTGCAGCAAAACAATTGACTGCAAACAAGGAGCTGTGCGCGCAGTACGCTATAATGGTAAGCTTCCTTTTAATATAGATTTGTGTGCATTTAGCTTTATTCCCGCTTTACAGTCGATGGCAGCTACTGTTTGAGCTGCGGCTCGGACAAAAAGATCAAATTGTGGAATCCTGTTTCGGGTTTGCTATTGAAGACCTATGGAGGCCATGCAGACGAGGTGACCGATGTGGCTGGCAGCTGTGATAGCAGCTACATTGTCTCCTCAAGCCTGGATAAGAGCATCATCTACTGGGATGTGGCAACGGGTGAGAAAGAGACAGCAGAGAGTGGGTGAATGAATATAAATATAACAAAAGCATTGCAGGCGCTCCTGTACGTAGACTCCGCAGTCATGCAGGCGGCGTACGCTGCGTCTGCTTCAACGAGGACTCATCCATTGCTATATCCGGCGGACGCGATAATGCCATCATGTGCTGGGACATACGCACCCGCCGCCTTGATCCCGTCCAAGTGATGAAGGACGCAAAGGACTGCATAACAGCTGTGTTGACTAATGACCACAAAATCTTTGCCTCCTCTTTGGATGGCTGTGTACGTCACTATGATATACGCGTGGGCGAGCTCACCTGCGACGAGGTGGGCCAACCGATTACCTATCTGGCGCAGACGAAGGATGAGCAGTGCCTGCTGGTTGGCTGCCAGGATAACACGTTGCGGCTGCTCGACTGCGAATCGGGCGGGCTGCTGTCGGAATACAAGGGTCATCAGTCAGCGGACTATCACATTGAGTGCGGCATCCTAGCCGACGATGCGCATCTAGTCTCCGGCTCCAGCGACGGCGATGCCTACGTCTGGGATCTGCTCGAGACGAAGGTCTTGCAGCGCATTCGCATTAGTAAATAACACTTTAATTAGTGTTCAATTGTGCATTCCTTTTAACATCTTTATCTGCTGCAGGTGACAATGGAGGCGTGCTTCATTCCCTGGCCACACATCCCAAGCGACAGGAGATGCTCTTCGCTCGACGCAGGGATATGTATGTATTCTCCACAGATCTGCAAATCGAGGAGGAGCAGCTGTAGCAAAGGGATGCCAAAATTCTTTTTTCATATAGTGTTAGTGAACCCGAATATAAGGCTAGTGAGATCTCTGTTAGATAGTACATAAATAGGAACTACCACTATATATGTATATGTCATGTTAACTATATCCGAATATCATATCGATCCGATATCGTAGGTTTTCATAAAACTTCCAATGACTGACTCAACTCTTGTTAATTAAATATAGGATAAGGAGGAGTAAATAAAAATGTACAAAATTAACTTCGAATCTGTATCATTTTAATGGTTCCTATAGTATGTACATACATATTCCAATAACCTCCCAAAAAATTCCCAAAGTAAAAATCACAAATGTATTTCTTTGAGGGGAAAAGGAAAAACCATTTATTTGACATAATTTTTTTTTTCGTATTTTTTTGTTTTTGTTTTTAATTATTTAATGTATTTTGTTTGTTGTTTATATAGAGCATGAATGTACGTAGTAATATGTTTGTTTGTATGTATGATCTGGCTTATATAATGCATAAACAATGTGTTTCTTGCTGTTGTTGTTTAGCTGTAAATCTGTTCGCTGCGCTCTTTATTCACAAACCAATGCCCGATGCATGTGCAAGCGTGTGTGTGTGCGTGTGCGCGTCGTGTGTGTGTGTTTTCGTATTGTATGTGTATGGGTGGAGCGCCGCTCTCCATCATTCTCAAACTCTCTCTCCGTTGTGGGTGGTGGTGTTCGTGGTGTTGGTAGTAGGTGGCCAAAGCCGTTGCTACGCTGCGCTGCTGCTGCGGCAGCTGCTGTCTTCGGCTTCACCTCAACACTTGGTGTCTTATGGGTGGCCAGACAAAAGCTGACTGCTCTGCCAGCGCGCAGCGTTCCAGCGGCTTAGCAGAGAGCTGCAGGCAGTCTACACTCTCTCCATTTTGCTCGTCTAAGCTCACGCACACACCGACACGTGCTCACACAAGCATGGGGCATTCCGTCTTCTTTTTATTTCCTTCCTTGCTTCTCTGAAGAGCTGCAGTTACATAGCGGCCACTCTTTTATATTCTTCAACTCTTCTACTCTGCTGCTTGCACTTATGTACTAAAGCATATTTATTTATTCGTTTTGTATTTGTATGCAATTTGTTGTACATACAGCTATATGTATGCATGCATGTATGTGTGTGTATTTATGGATTTATTTATATATATGTATATATATAATGGTTTATGTTTAATGTTATCGTATTTAGTAATAATATTATGTAATGTTGCGTTAGCTTATGTCGTATATAAAGTTTATATACATATATATGTATATGTATGCATATACTCATATATATATTTATTTTTATTTTTATATGTATGTGTGTAGTTTATATAATAAACGATTCTCTCCTCTCTTATAATTAGATTATACAAACAACAAAAAACTCAATAAGATCCATTCCAAAATTTTTCGATTCTCATATTCTTAAATTTGTTTATGGGCAAAAGGAAAAATACAATAAACTTGTTATATATTGATATATATATATGTATGTGTGTTTATGTAAATTAAAAATTAATTAAATAATAGAAAATAATTTAAAAAAGTAAAAATTAATGCGATGGTGTTTATAGAGTTCAGCATGCTCATTATATAGA